GCGGCGCTGCCCGGCACTCGCGGGCCTGCTCCGCGCGGCTCGGCCCGGCCTGCCGGCACCATGAGCGACGTGGAGGAGAACAACTTCGAGGGGAGGGTGAGTGGCCGTCCCGGCCCGGCCTGTCGGGGAGAGGGGAGGTGGCCCAGCCCGGCCCGGCTCCTCGCTGATAATGGCTCCTGCCTTGGCCCGCGGCGGGGCGGGGCTGGGCCGGGCCCCCACCCGCCATTTCTAGCCCCGTCTTCCTTCTCCTCGAGGCCCGCCGGGCCCGCGCTCCCCTTCCCCGGTGCCCGGAGCCGCCTCCCCTGGAAGAGCCCGCGGGGGGGGCGCTGCGCCGCCTTCCCCTAGAGCCGGGGCCTCGGAGCCCGTAGGTCCCGCCGCCGCCGCGGTTCGGTCCCTGTCTGGAGGCCGGTTCCCGCGCTGTCGCGGGCCAGGGTGTGTGTGTCCGCGCTGCCCGGCCGGCGCGGGGGTGAGGATGGAGCTGTGGCGGGTGCAGAGCAGGGAGCAGGTGGCCGAGACACAGCGTCCACACCCCACCGCCATCTCCTCTGTTTTGTTTTGCAGGGACTCTGGTGGCCTTTCAAGACTTGCTCTTGAAGAACACTTCAGAGCCTCCTTGGGTGACCTTCTCTGATGAGCCAGCGGCAGCAGCTTGGTAGCCAGGGAGCGTTGCTGCCAGGGGATATAAGTAATAAAATCCTGAAGTGCATTGTTGTATCCCAGTAATGGCTTCTCCTGGAATGGGGGAGCCCCTAGGCTACAGGCACCAGGCTTGACTGCATGGTTTGCTGCTGCTGGTTCTTCAGGGGAGGCGAACAAAACATGGTTTTCAACAAAACATGTTTTTTAATCTTAATTGTTCTGGCAGGGGCAGCTTTGTAGCTGCGCTGTTTCTGACTAAGTAAAGTAATTGGTAAATGGATATCCAACCTAATGAGTCAGCTGTCAGTTTGAAAAAATTGGGTAAGGAGCATGTCTGCCAGTTCTTCAGAATCTATTGCTTTAAGCACTAGTTCTCTGTGAGCTTTTTTTTTTTTTTTTAATTATTATTATTATTATTATGTATTTGTTTCTCTGTCTTTTCTTGAAAAAGAGAGCTTCCCTTTGTTTCCTTTAGCTAAAAATTGTTCTTCTGGGATCTCTGGACAGATCAGTTGCTAGTTTTATTGGGGTGTTAAAGCTGACTACCTTCAAAGTCACTTATGACCAGTTGATCAGTTTAATCAGCTATTTTAATTGACTTTTCCACTTACACTTGAGTTTCTTCCTAAAGGAAGATGCATACCCATTATATAACCATCAACATGATTTTAAAACGAAATGGAGCTTGTGCATTGGATTTGGGGAATGCTTTGATCATATACATACAAAATCACTGTATTTATTTAAAAGACTATAAGCACAGCACTGTCAGAGTCTCATTATATTTACCTTTTTCATATGTTAGAAAAGCATGAACTATATTGCCTGTTTACCAGGTAATGAATTTTGCTTGTGACTTGTTAGGCAGTTGATTTGGCATGGTAACTAGGAATTAAACAATGCACAACAGCACACACTGCTCATTAAACAAGTCAGCCTTAAATGTTTTGGGTACATAATTTTTTTTTTAAATTAAGTATACTTCAGATTTAGAACGGAAAGATTTGAGAAGACTCTGTAGTTAGTGAATTAAACTCATTTCAATTTAGTTTGTGAAACTTTTTCAGACGTACTTTAGTCAAAGTGGTGAACCTAAGTTCCTACTTGCTTCTCTCTCTCAAATATGAACCTCTTAAGTTTTTAGGCTATCCTTTAAATATAACATCAGTAAATCACAAGTGTCAAATTAAAAATGTGTGGCTTTTAAGAGGCCAGAGTAATGTTAGGCTTTAACATTACTTTTACATTTAATTTTGAATAAGTTTATAGCTTTTTCTTATTAAAGTAACAACAAAAATGTTTTAAATAATAATCTGCTAACTTGGAAAAAAACAACTATTTTTCAATTACTTTTATTATTAAGTATCTTCTGAGTGTAGCAAGTGGCAGCTCCCCCTCCCCCTTCTGTGAAATTCAGTGGAACAACAGTGGCAGAGTAGTAGCAATTACTTTTTCTGTTTTGCTATTTTTGAACAGCTGCTACTTTTTGGACCAAGTATTTTACAATAGGAGAAACTTACATTTTTTTTCTTAAGCTAGCTTTTTTTTTTTAGTAAATATGTTAATGAAATAAAATAGTATACTAAACTGATAATCACAAGCTTGATTTGAAATGGTACTGTTCATTTGGGTGAAGCGAAGCATTGTTGACACTGCAGGACTGGGATGTAAGATAAAATATAGACTGTAGTGGTCCTGCTTACTAGTTTTTTTGTTTTTTTTATGAAGTTAAATATTTAAAAAAATACTAAAAATTGCCACAGGACTGTAAATGTCAGAGCATTCTTGAGAATATTCATATTTTAGTAAGTGAATCAGGGAATAAAGGAATTTAAGAAATCAGGGGATATAGGTGGTGAAACATGCTGTTACAAGAAGCAATGGCATGTATATTCCTTCCCAAAGCACAAGGTACTTAGTTCTGATTGGATGTACAGGTACTAAATCAATTAGCTTTTGTAATTGGTGCAAATTAATTAAATGCATTTTTCCTTTAGTTCTCTGTTTTGAGATGAAGAGATTATATTGTATATTTTTTCATATATAAATATACCTAAGTTGGAAAAGTAATTGAATTGCCTCTATTTCCTCTAAAATGATTGAAGATTTAAATAAGGCAATTTTTAATGCCATTAAGTAAATATTACTTTCAACTTAAAAAAAAAAAAAAACTGATCTAACAGCCAAATTATGTGATTTCTACCCAGTTAATATTAAAAATAAAATAACTTCCTTCCTTTTGTGTTCGCTTGAATGATTGTGATGATACAGCTATTGAACATTTTTTTTCAACTTAATGAAAATCAGTTTCACTAGGTTACAGTGTAACTGATATATTATGATGCCTAATTACATAAAGCAGAGTACCTGGGTTTTTTTCACTTCTTTAGCTCAGCTGACTCCGTTCCTAAAAACCTTGTGTCAAGTATTTGCATTCAAAATTCTTTATATGTGTTAACAGTGATATTTATTACACTGTATTGCCACTGTTGTAGATGTTAGGAAAGTCTTCTAAGGATAAAGTTCATTTGTTAAAGGGGGCAGTTGCAGACTATCCTAAAAGCATGAGAAACCCAAGAATTCAGAGGAAGACTCTTGTTTTCAGTTGTGCTTCTCTCCAAAGTATTTATTTACTATTGCTGCAAGTAACATCGTAGCTAAAAGGCAAGGAAAGAATTTTCAGTTTCTCTTCTGCAGTTGACCCTGCTTTGTGTATTTTCAGTATATTCAGGTTCCCTGTGTATTCTGTCATGTTTGTGGCACACTTACACCTCAACAGGCAAGGGCAAAATGCCAACAGAATAGTGTTTTTGTAAAACCATAAATTTTACAAAACTTGATAATTTTAATAATTGGAACTGCTTTACCTATCTTTTGCAGTTTCAAGTTACTGTCCATGTCCCCCCTGCCCCCCAAGATTTTTTTAAATCCTCTTTTCAAATTGAAATGAAATAACCAGATTCTCTGGGTTGGAAGGCACTGACTGGAGCAGTAGTAAAGCCAAGTGACCTTGTTAAACTGGTTAGATTGAGGAAATAGAAAAGGGATTTTAGTGTGAGTGTTTACAACTACTTAACATCTTATTTCATTTAATGATATTTGGGTAAAAAGTCTTTAACCATCTGGTTTCTTCACCTTTTCAAATAAGATGGTATATGACATTGAGGCCTAATGAGTGTAACATTTTAGCTGCCAACTGTAATGGTAGGATAATATCTACTTTCCCACTCTGGGGGTCCTGCTTATCAGGAGCGTATATTTAGTGAATATGTCTAGGATTTCAATCGATTTTATACTTCCTTTTTTTCTCTAATATCAAAGCTCTCCTGAGAAATTAGAATTCTAGTTTTAGTTTCTATGATTTGTCCTTTGTGACACTTGTTTCTACAGACTTAAAGCAGAATTGTTACCTAGGGTAGTAGTATTCCTGTTGTCGTACAGCAGAAATCCCTGTAACTGGGCTCAAGAATCATTGAATCAGGAATTGAGTAAATTGCAGTGCTACACTTTAAAACTTTTTTTCTTGCTGTATTCAGAAGAGTGTCAGGGTGATGTGAAGGTAATGGTATTTGCTTCTTGTGCACATATTCCTGTTAGTGCACAAGGACTCAAAAAAGACACATGAGTCTTAGTTGCATTCATGTTTAGCCAGTTGATGTTAGTAACATGCCTTTTGTGTCAGTGCTTAGTCTGTGGACTGTAGTTTCAAAATTAGGTTTTTCAAAGCAGTGGACATATTTTACTCTAAATTTCAATCTCTCTATATATCTTTAGAGAGGCTTTCATTACTTGTCTTTACAGCTTTACTTTAAATGATATTTTGTGTGTTGATCATGTTGGGATAGCATTTATTTAAAGCTAGGGGTGAAACTTTCCTTTAACTCTTCCTTCTCCTCCCCTGGGGAAGTGGGGGTGGTAGTCTCTTAGTACTTGAAGGAGTGTGTTAAAATAATTTTCCCCCCTTCCGAATAATCCACTTACCCTAGTATAAAAAAATATGAGTGCTGTTTATGTGCAAGTTCTGCATGGATAAATATAGCAGTTTACCTAGTTGTACATTTTAAGATGCACAAGAGCCTTGTCAGAACCATCAGCACCTTAAGCTAGAAAATGGATGTTATTTTATTGACCTTTTTCACATGTGCTTTCCAGTGCCCTTTGTTTTAGAGGAATCTTTCTGAAATGTTACTGGCCTCTCAAATTGTTATCATGTGAACCAACTGTAGCTAATTAGCTAAAGCTGTACTCTGTAGTTAGTCCACTGATGCCTCCAGCTCCTGTGTTGCTGTTCTTTACCAAGTTTATTGCTTTCTTTCACTCACTTGGGCTTCCTCTATATTATAGAGGTCTGTTAGCATAACAGTGTTGCATAGGGGTGTAAAAAGATCATACTAGTGTAGCTGGCAAAACCTCTGGTGGAGATTCTAGCTCTTCTGGTAGAAGTCCTGCTGTTTATT